TGAATCCCTATATACTATGTATATATCGCAAGTGATTTGCTTACGAGCGACGCGCAAACGAAATCATACCTCGGCCGACTTCGATCTACCGAATATAGGATTTCACGTTAAATATCGAGTGCACTGCATATATGATGCTTCGGCAACTCGCGAATCGCCAAAGCAAGTGAAATGCTAAATCCACGAGTGTGCCGACAAGTCCGCTGCTTCATTGAGAAATGCTTTGAGGTTAGAAAATGATTGAATCCATTGATTTCAATCAATTTGATTGGGTGATGATAATTTGATTCTCGAATAACTTTATATCACCGTGGAGAATCACATAAAAATCGCACTTATGCCCATTCCAAGTGCTTAAAGAAAATTCGGAAATTACTATTTAGAGATATGCAAAGAAATCGCGAACAAATTATTTGTCGTAGTTGAATGTTCAGAGAACTGTATTGAGATCAATTCTATTTTAGCCTAATCTTAAATTCATTGATTTGATTTAAAAAAATCCGAAAATCCACAAATTATTATTCTATGAAGATAAACAAGAATAAATGACATAAAGTAGTTGTTATTCCATGAATTGAAAAAGACTCGCATTAGAAGAATGTGTCATTGATTGTAGTTGAAAATATAAAGAATTGTGAATTTTTTTTCTGAAAACTCGGCAAGGACTTATGCTCGTGGACAAGTACCAAAAAATCAATCTAAATTGAACATTTCAATAATGTTACTTATGAAAAATATGCGTTAATCCACCTTGAAACTGAAGCTTTATCATAAAAACTTACGAATTTGGTGGCAGAGTGCAGAGTTGATTTTGTCAATTTAATACGTATTTATTAGTACCAATCATGAATATGAAGCAAGCCATTCAGTTGAATAAATGTTTTGAAACCAAAATTCTAGCTCTATGAAAATATAATGATCGTCCTGCTAATCGAATTGAAAATCTGATCTGGTCGATGATTGAACAAATGACATTGAAGTACATTGGAATTTCAAATTTTACCGCTAACATCTAATGACATTTGTCCGATTCGTTGTGAAAAACTGATTCGTTGTGTTTATATCGGAATATAAACAGACTGGTATTGCAGAATCATGCATGTCTTGCGAACGCCATGATTGATATCTAAACTCTGGTCCATCAAATGTATAGAATCAAGATGAGAACAAAACAATTCGCGGTAAATGTAATTGTAAATTACAGTCGGCTAACGACTTGGTTTGTTAATATTTCTAAAGTAGGAATGCTATAGCATTGCAAAACAAAGTTGAATCAATGCTGACGAGATTGAATTGATTATGTTTTTGTGAAACGGAAAAGTATGTGAATTGAATTTATTGCGGCCCATAATTTGTAGCTTGTCCAAACAACAAAAATCTCATAGAACCACTCTATGTCATTCATTCTTCTCTCTATTGTTGTTACTAGGAGTCGCATCGGAAGAGCTGGTTTCTATTTATGATCAAAAATAATAGTAGTGTGATATTTCTTGAAGTGTCAAGGAAATGAGCAAATGAACAATGACAAGTATGAACGACAATTACTTCCAAGCTGAAACTTTGTGATACAAATTTATGAAATCGATTGCAACGCCGAGTTGATTTTGCCAAGGTAACACATTTCGCAAAAGCATTCGTTTCTTACGCTAGCCAAGAAAATTCTTTCGCTACAAAAATGAACTAAAAAATTAAAAGCAACATCTTTCTTCCTCTTCTTCGTTTTATTCCGGTTTCAATGTATTTATGTCAATCCATTCTGTTTCAATCAGAAATGGGGCTTAAATCTAATGTAGTTTTAATGAATAGATCAAACGAATATTGAATGTTATTTTCGAATTCTCGGAATGGATCACGCTTTGAGTCCAAATGATGTATCTTTTAAAAGGAATCATAAACAATTCATTGATAACTTTATCGTTTTTCAATTAATGGGGTGGGTGGTTCGTTACATCTTCAAACGGTGAATTGTTTTCATGTGTTGATTGGCATTACTTTTCTTGGTAAAGCTTGCCGCACAAACTTTGCATTGAATCCGCTCTCCGGTGTGATCTTTTCGCATGTGAATCTTCAAAGCATCTTTGTCTCGACGATGCTCTTTGCAGAAATGGCATTGAAACTGGCGGTAGCCACAGCTGTCTTCATGAACCTCTTTTGCATCTTCAGTTGCGTATCCTCCGAAGCACTTGGAGCACTGGAATGGGAATTGGTCGCTGTGTGTTGATGACAAATGCTGATTCAATCTAATCTGATCGACGAATTGTCTGCTGCAAATTTCACATCTGTTCGATTTTCGTTGGCAGCGTCTTTCATGTGCTTGCCCATCTTCCGGAGTAACGAAGCGACGGCCACATTTCGAACAAGCATTCGGCAGGTCATCTTTGTGAGTGATTGAATGTGCTTGAAGATTTGAAGTTTGTGTAAATGACTTGAAACAGATTGAGCACACGAACGGCTTATACCCGGTGTGGGTCCGCATATGAACTGTCAAATATGATTTGTGCATCGTTCTATATCCGCAAATATCGCATTCGAAACGGAGAGGATTGCATAACGCTTCGTGGTCGACCTTGACTGATTCGTGTTCGAATCCTTGATTACATTTTAAACAACGAAATTGGCCATGCGTTTTCTTATGACGGTTCAAAGCTTGTTTATGTGCAAACGACTTCAAACAAACATCACACTGATACGGCTTTTCTCCAGTGTGAATGCGCAAGTGTACTTTGAGATGGGACTTATAATCTGTCACATGATTGCACATATGACATTTGTGCTCCTTTTGCTTTTTGGCCACTTGATTCCTGGGAATGGCTCGTTTGTTTTGCTCTTTGGAGCCTCCATTTCGTTTCTTCCCGCTGTCGACTGGTTGTGATTGTTGCACATCGATTGTGTCACCCATAGACTCTTCGTTGGCTGCAATATCATCCGATCGTTCACATGGTGTCGAGTCCTTTTCTTTGCCCGTCTCTTCTTCTTCACATTTGATTTCATCTTTCATTGCATCGAAGTCATATCCAAAGTCAAAGCGCCTATCGTAATTCACACGATATCTGCCATCAGTTCGCTGCTGTGATACAATAATGACACCATCGTCATTGGGCTCTTCCTTGATACCAGGCTCTAGCTTAACTTCAACCACTTCAGACTTTGGTTTACGCTTGTTGCGTCTACCAGAAACCACTTCAAACGGATTCATTTTCTGTTGGATTCGGGAGAAATATAAAAAATCAAACAAGAATAATTGAATCGACCCAAAGCAAAACACGCGTTTTTCTTATGTGTCTGTGGCAAAGACAAAAAAATACACGCACACCATACGCTTGTGTTTTAGGTTATATCTCATCAATTTGCGTGAATATTCAAACGATTTGCCACTTTTACAACAAAATCACACAGTTCTAAGCACAATATCGAAATATATTCCAGAAAAAAATATTCAACACTTACGTCGGTCGATTCTTTTTTTTTCTGCTGAAAATTCAATTAATATTTCTGAGTGTGTCGTATTTCAAAATGTCTGCCTCACTGTGTGACTTAATGAATATTATTGCAAGCTCAGCACCACAACCACCGGCATCGTTGCCGCGATCCACACACACTCACTTTCATTTGTGTTGGTGACTTTTATCACACTTATGTCAATCGGTAGCTCTCTTTTGAGCAACTTACGGAGTACGATTCAAATCCGTCCGTTGAATTCAAATGGAATTTCATTTCATAAATCCAAATTTTGCTGAACACATTTCATTCGGAATTATGGTCATCTTGTGATTCGAATTAAAAATATGCGATGATTTAGAAATGCACAATGAGCAACACACGTTGAAGTAGAGAAATCCTTAGTTCAACTGCCAATATTCATCGTCATTCGTACGAAGTAAATGAATTACCAAATATTCATTGAGTCACTTACAACGAAATAGAGTGAGTGAATTGAAAAGAACATTTTGGAGCTTTCATTTCGATGAACATTCAAACCTTGTGCTTCGAACGAACAATGAACAAATTCCCTTTGCAAAATCTGACATATCATCACACGGCATCGAAAATGCGCATTGGAAGCTGATATAAGGAAGCACAGTAAAACATCGCAATAGTGGGATCGCATGGCTCTAAATCTTTGAAGGGAAAATTCACGTGTGCCACTGTTGGCATCGCCTTTCGTCGAATGGTTTTACTGTAATTCGAACGAACGGCTGTCAAACAACAACAAACTCATTCGTTCTGTTTGAGTTGAAACGTAAACAAATTTGTATGAAATATTTCCCGTGAATCACGCACGCTCCAAAGACTATTTGAATGCAATGCATTGGATTCATAAGAAAATTCATTTAATCGTACAGAGGTAAACATTCAATTGGACTGAATCAATAAATATGTTCTTGAGCGACGTGAAAACCGATAAATCAACAAACAATTGAATCACACCTTATTGTTTTCACTAATTCAATATTTTCAATTCATTTAAAACAAGAGAATTTGAAAAGAGTACCTTGAATGCATTTCGGTATTATCATACCATCATCAGCATCACGACTAAACAGAAAAGTCGTCGGTTGTCACGTAAAAACAACGGTCGGTGTAGCATCATAGCAACCGAGACAGCAAATTTGACTCGATGTTCCCGTTATCCAGATTCAATGCGTTGTTGCTCCTCTGAATAAAGTAACTTTCGTATGCGTCTAATTTGCGCGCGTCGCCTATCTCTTTCACCAACCGTAAGTTGCTTATGTCGATGTTCAAATGACCGCTGTTCAATGCATGCAATGCTAAGGCAGAGCGGTAGCCC